ACAGTATACCATTCCCATCTCTGTGTGTGGTTATTGAGTGTAGATTTGAAGGAGGTCAAAGCAGGCCTGTGGTTCGTGCAGTAGGAAGTGACTGTCTCTGGAGACAGGCTTTAATGGGACATCACTCTTGTCTGTGGGAGAACGGAAAGACACAGCTGTTGCATACACACTCCAACACACTGCACAGGAAGCTGAGACTTTTGTTTCATATCTCATAGCCTTTAGGAGAGGAACGTGCCCTCTTTAAACATCTGTCACATTTCAGAAATGTATGTCAATCCAAACAGACACTTTCACTCAATGTGTGATTATTGAATTGTTCAGTAAATATTCACTTCCTCTGATGTGTGTTTTTAACGTCTCTCTGTGGTGATGCAGCAATTCTAGACGTCTGACCTTAGCACTGATTGATAGTAGTGGGGCATTAGTACATGCCGTTGCAAGTTCTCTTTAGATGCAAAGCATCAGGTGATCGATTTCCACACCAGCTGATTAACCCATGAGATGAGTGCAGTTTCCATAGAGACACAAAGTCAGTTGATCAAACGTGGCCGATTTAATTGGAAGAACCCTCTGGCTTGCGCTCAGCTGTGAGCTTGCTGATTGGTTACTCGGTTGCTGTAAGGCACAGATGACAACCCACTGACCCAGGGAAATTGCTTCCTGTTCATCTGCCCCCAAGACTTGTCATAATGAAACCCTACACAGTTTGTTAGCTATCTGTAAAGGGTATTATTTGATCCTGGTGGGCATCATCATCATCTCATAGGTATATGTGGATACAGTGAGGATCAATTTTTCTCTTCAGAACAGGCTGGTCTCTTCGCTCATCCCTCTGTTCTCACCCAGACACATGGCCTTGTAGCATCCAGACTCAAGATGGCCAGCTTTCTCTTCTTCTCACTATGAATTGGCCTCAGTCTAGTGATGAGGAGGGGGTTGGGCAGAAAACTGTGTCCTGATTGTTATCATATTGGTCAGTTTGTTAAACTGAAGATGTTGCAGAATGTTGTTACACATAAGCTGGATTGTTGCATTTAAAAATAGGTATGTCAGGATTTAAATGTTAGAATCTGGCTAGTTAAGCCAAAATCGAATGTTCTGTGATCATTTACATGTTTTTTTTTTTTTTTATCATGTATTGATTTTTTTTCTGTTCAGTTTAATGAATGGGGACTAGAGCTTTTAAGCTTCAAAAGGGTACAAAAGCATCATAAAAACAGTGTATAGTACTGTTCAAAGGTTTGGGGTCAAAATGTTTTTGAAAGAAGTCTCTTATGTTCACCAAGGCTGCATTTTTGTGAAATATTATGTTTAATTGTAATTCTATTGTGAAATATTACAATGGAAAATATTTGATTCCTATTTATTCCTGTGAATGCAAAGCTGAATTTTCAGCAGCCATTACTCCAGTCGTCAGCTTTGGCTTTTTGTAACCAATTGTGATTTACTGGTTTAAGAAAACATACATCACATGATCCTTTAGAAATCATTCTAATATGCTGATTTATTGTGCAAGAAACATTTTTATTGTTAATGTTAAAAACAGTGTTGCTTCATATTTTTGTGGAAATTGTGATCCATTTTTACAGGACTATTTGATGAATAGCAGGTTTAAAAGAATAGCATTTGAAATATAAATCTTTTTTAACATTATGAATGTCCTTGCTGTCACTTTTGAAGAATTTAATGTGTCCCTGCTGAATAAAAGTATTAATTTTTTTTCTTTTTTTATCATACTGACCCCAAACTTTTGAATAGTACGACTCAAGTCTAATGCCACCAGATCATTGTTTCACTGAGAAGGAATCATTCAGACTGCATTTGTAAAAGAGATCGCATGATTAATTTAAAAGATGTGACTCAAAGAACAGTTCATTCATGAATATGAAATTGCTACTTCTCTCATGAACTCCTCATGAGCTTGGGCAAATGGCAAGATTTTCAGTGAACAGTGGTCTATTTCTTACATAAAGCTATCACATGATTTCAGATGGAGAATTTGAAATATAGTGCATGAGCTTCCTGTCACAGTGAGTGCAGTGTAGCAACAGATGACATGCACCCTTGTGTCCAGCAAAGAGCCAGGACGCGGCATATGTCGAATGTGTCATTCTCCTCTAACGTGGCCAAAGAGAAGCTGTGAAACTGTTGGTGTTTTATAAGCTAATGGCCTCTTGATTGACACCTATGAAAGCTTTATTATTCTAACCACCTCCTGCTGCAAATATTTCAACATTTTATGCTACACAGTATACCGACGATTTCCATAAGGGGTTACAAAATACTGCTGTATTACAATGTTCTTTTTTTAGTGCGCTCTCCTGCAGATGAGTTATTATCAAAGCTTCTGTCAGCACAAAAACGTATAATAACAGAGCATCCACAAAATTCCTTATTGCATTACTCCTGCTCCAGTGCAATTATTTATTCAGGAGATGCCGCTGGCATTCACATGAGAATATTTTACCGGATGCGTTCTCAGCAGCAATCCAGCTGTGCTTTTCCACAAAATCCCGCCTTCTCTGTGACCCCTGGGGAGGAAAGTCTTTGCAGTATGGTTGTCTGTAACTTTAAAGTAACTAAGGCAAATACTGTATCTGTAGGTATGGTATTTTTTTCCACACTTTTTTTTCTGTCCCTTGGCAGCCAGATGCTGTACATTTATGGGCACAGAGACACAACTGTAGATATTTGGGGCTGTATACTAAAGGATCCAGATGGACACAGTTCTTACACGTGATCTGGATCTTCATCCATAATGACTCTGGCAAAGAAGTGACCAATGGCTTGCCCAAAGTGTTGCCAAGGACCACAGTTGCTCATCTGGAACTATAGCCTTTCCAAACACATTCCCCCATCAAATGGCTTTTCCAGTGCCTTATTTTATATGGCATGAAACATACAATCCTGACATTCCTTGTGAAGGAATCGCTTCCTTTTGACCCATATTTCTTAAACTACAGTTTTATAAGCAGTGCTTGATTTGGGTATTTTAATTATATTTAGAAGGTTAGATATTTGAATGATAATAGACAATGAAATCCCTTTGTTGAAAGTTGTAGAGCCTTCAGGATGGGCACTTTTGACTTGGGCTAGTAAGCAACCACACAAAATAGTCTAGCAATCTTGTTAAACACCACTTATCACCTTAGCAAATGCATGGCAACCCTTGGCTTTTTGTGGTTTCTACTTCTCTTCATCTGCATGGTCTACTCCCTGAAATGCCATGAAAAACAATCATTAGAGCAAACCATTGCACAAACTGTCTTCAGATCACGGTTGCTATAGTTACTCTGGAGCACATTTGTGAGGATCTAGATAAAGTTCTTGGTGCTTGTTCCTCAGACAGAAATGGATGCTGGTGCTCACATGCATTTGAGCAGATGCTTGACATGTGCTCATTCTGAGAGACTCGTAAGTGCTGTGCTACTGGGAAACAATGATCCATAGTCTTCATCAGACCATGAATGCAGAATTGATCATCGCTTAGAAGAGTTGCTTCGGCATGCTGTGGGTTCTGTATAGGTTTTTTTTTTCTCCATAATATGATGCTTATCTAACCAATTGTGATTTACGATCAGTCATTTGTAAGTTTAACTACAAGATTGCACATGTGATGATGTTCTGCACAATGTGCTGTCTGGTACCACAGTATGTGCAGAGCTCCATTCCTGAATCTAATGGCCGCTCTCTCTTTTTCCCTGCAGGCAACAATCACCAGAGCCAAACAAGTGTACAGGTAGGACTCGTTTGTCATTTTTGGTACTGTGAAGTGTACAAGACTTGATTTTTAATAATCTGCTTGTGCTTCCCCCCAAGTGTATTGACATATTTGAGGTTTTTGTGGTAGGTCTTTTCCAGTTGAATCTAGTATATAAAGATATGTAAGGAGTGTTTTATTACACTCTAAAAAATGCTGGGTTAAATACCAGCAATTGGGTTGTTTTGACCCAGCGGTTGGGTTAAATGTTTATGGGTAGTAACCCAACCGCTGGGTCAAAACAGCCCAATTGCTGGGTTTGTCCCTATTTTACCCAGCACTGGGTTGTATTTAACCCAGCATTTTTTAGAGTGTATGATATCCATATTTTTATCTTACTCCGACACATACAGAAAGCTCAGAACATGTATTTGACTCACAGGCCTATCAAGGTTTTAGATTATAATTTGGAAGGGAGTAAATAATTTAGCATGAGATGCTGGTAAATGAAGATCTGACCACAATAGGATTTCTATAATAGTATGCAGATAATGCTACACTTTCAATGATTGTTCCTTAAATTAATAAAAGAACATTATTAATAATAAAACAACAAAATAATAAATAACACTTATTATTATTATTATTATTATCATCATCACTATTATTATTATTATTGTCATCAGGAATATATAGATAATGGTTTCCCAAATTTTAAAATGTAAGTAATTTAAAGTCTCAGAGGTAAATATTTACAGTCAAAAGGTTTCTGCTGACAAAAATATTTGTAAATCCCTTTTATAGATAATAACATTTTTTGTGTAACAAAAAACAATGTTTGTTATTATATAATATGTACAAATGTCTGTATTATTTATATTTGTTGATATGATTATTCATGTATCCCTCAGTATTCAAATGAAACCTCCACTACTGAAACCAGTGCTAAGGAGATATTTTGCTTGTAGTTTGGCAGGCATTAGTTATGAAGTTTGAGAATCAGTTAATATGTTAATGCCTATGCTTCAGTCACATTTGCATAGTTTCTTGAGTTGCACAATTGGCTTTTTTCATCTTATACAAACCTACAGTTCTTCTTCTGTTATGTGTTAACCATGCATTTCAAGAGTAGGATGATAGTATTTGCATTAAAAAAAGCCAAAAGGCTGAATAATTCCAACATAAAGACTTTGGATTTGTTCAGAATGAATGCCAACTTCATGTTCTTCGTAGATTTGGCTGGCTTTTGTTCTGCTGTTTCTTATCGGAGAGTTTGAGTGAGTGGAGAGGAAAGCAGAAAAAAGGGGGGCCGCCAGGAGACCATGAAAACCTGATGAATGGGGTAAGAATTGTGCTTCAGTGATGCTTTCCATCCAAGAGATTTAAGCCTGTGCTGCCTCATTGTGGCTCAAACAGAGCCTTACAGAGTCCCTGTGAACCAGTCTTCGTTTTTCATTTCAACATTTTTAATCACAGAGAGTCCCAAGATTACATGAACCATCTTTAGAGTGTTTTAGTCATGAGAATGTGTGACCGCTGTGCTTGGGGGCCTGGTAAAGATGGGAGAACAGAGAAGAGAATGGATGGATTGTGAGACCCGGGACTTGTGGGAGGAAAGCATGAAGCAGACAGATTAACATTTTTGTTTGGCCACAGGGAGATGAGAAACTTCATGCATGAGTTGCCTTTCTCTCTGAGTCTGTTGCATTTGAGTGGGTGTTTTCTGTGAAATTATCATCCAAGGGCAGAGTTCAAGAGTTCAGGAGATGTTTAGCAGTCAAGAGATTAGTGTGACCTACTGGGGGCATAATTGACTGCTAAAACACACACACAGACACATATGCATGCATTTACACATAAACAGCTGTATAGGCAGGGTCTGTTTTATGCTTGAATCGCTCATTGTAACTGTCATTGAATGAGGGGGGCCCGCCAGCATGTGTTCGTGGCTTGTTGACTGACTGTGAAGGCTTGTGGAGCACATACGTACAATACACACAGATCATGAGGCCACCACACAGCCAGATGTTGATTTTATGTTTATTATGTTTGTCGGGTTGCATTTACCTCAGTTTTATCGTTAGCTATGGAAGCTGCATTTGCATGCTGTGCACTACAGTAACAGCAGCATGAAAGCTGTAAAAATGTCTAAACTGTTTCCTTTATGTAAATGCTGTTAATAATAACAGTCATTGTTTATGCATAAAGTTTGACAGAAACTGTTATATCAAGGGCTCTCGACGTTTTGAGGTTTACGACTGATTTTGAATTCCTCAGGAGTAGTTAAATGGCTTGTAGATTACACTAAGAATAACAACACATTTTACTACTTAGTCAGGTTTAATTGTTATTGACTGTACAAGAACTTTAACAAATCATTTGGGCACAGGGATGTAGTGGTGAAAAAGAGGTGGGTACCACTATAAAACTCAGCATCTTGCCACATATCGGAAAAGAAATAAACCAAAGCATATAGGCTTTTAGATACTTTGAATGTCGAATAACAAAAGTTTGCAGTGCCTCAAACTGAAAAGAAATGCAACTTTGTTTTAATCAAGAGAGTGAACTGAAGTTTAAGGTTTACAAATGTTCCTATTAAAATGGTCAATGTATGCTACCATTCAAAAGTTTGGGTTCAGTTTTTTTTTCTTTTATTCAACAAGAATGCATTTAACTGAAGACTTTTACATTGTTACAAAAGATTCTATTTAAAATAAATGCTGTTCAGTTGAACTTTCTATTAATCAAGAGTAAAAAAAAATTCTAACTGTCTCCACAAAAATATTAAGCAGTGACACACAGCATTGTTTTCAACATTGATACTAACAAAAAATGTCACCTGAGCAGCAAATCAGCATGTTCAAATGATTTCTGAAGGATCATGTGACACTGATGAGACTTCTTTCAAAAACATAGAAATCTTATTGTCCCTAAATTTTAAATTGAAAAATGCGATTAAAATAATAGTAATGAATTTATTAGAATTTAAATCGGAGCAGTTCATAGTTTGAAAAAACACAGTTTTAATCAGCTTTGCACTTTGTAGCTTTGCATTGTAGCCAATATTTATTATATTACATTTTAAACTCAAGAGTATTTATATATTGGTGTAGTCTAGTTGTCTATTAAAATTGAGTTTGGAATTTGAAAGATAACCGCTTTAGTGACAAAATGCACATGGGGCTGAGACCTCAAGGTTGAGACCCTCTGTATTATATAAAGTGAGTATTAATGATTGTGAAATGATTAAGCAAATGCCTGACATTATCTCTCTGTTAACACTGTGAACCTTTGTAGTTTTGATGGATATCTGAAGGCTAACCTTTGCACGATAATGTACATCTTGCCTGTCAATATATTGAGGAGGGTTTGATTTAAATGGCGGTGTCTGTCACAGCCTGACAGGTTAAATGGGGTCTTTGTCTTGCTGTGACAATCTGAGTGGCTCTCAGATTTAACCTGCTGTATCTGAAGGACTTCATCACCCTGGCAACAGACATTTCAATGACCTGCCACTAGGTTGTCCCATAGTGCCACTGCATGGTGTTTTTGCTATGGTTTAAAGATGCAAACAAAGAGCTCAATCCAAGTGTCTTTGTCTTCAGTCTCTTTATAGCAGGGGTTCTCAACCTTTTTTGGTCCATGACCCATTTTTTAAAGTTTAATTATTATACCCCTCCAGTGTCATAGAATTAAGAGATGCATGTTACCGTCTCACAAGTGACCAATTACATTATATGGATATGAAGACATTTTACATTGTCAATTTTATTATTGACGCTGTAACTATAAGAAATAATCAAAAGTCTATCATGTATCTCATCTCGACCCCTCAATCTATGACAACCCTGTGTGTTTTTGTGACCCCAAGGTTGAGATCCTCTGCTTTAGCTTGCAGTCTGAAAGTTTATTGCATCACTAAATAGTATTTAGCTCACATATAGTGCATAGGTAACATTTTCTATCCCATTTCCCTGCAGGTGTCAGAAAAAGAAGTATGTAGCCAGTCAGTAGAGAGCCATGGTACTGACTTGGCGGTCAGCAGCTCTCATAATGGGGCTCTTACAAGTGGTACAGGTAACAGTTCTACAGCAACGTTTCCCTGACTGTTTGTAACTGACTATAGCAGATGGTCACACTCTTTCCACTTACTTTTTGTCATCAGTACTAACAGACACGATGGACACAAGTCCCCAGCCTTCAGAAGACATGCTGTCCAGCCAGTCAGAAATCAGATCCTCTAAGTATCACCAGGACCGTGAATTACCCAGCATTCCACCCACCGATACCCTCAAAGCAGCCATCGATGCTCAAGTTCCCTCAGGAGAAGGCACGTATGAGGTGGTGAAGGACAGCGCCTCCCGTGATGTCAGTGTTGAGGACTGTCTGTACGAGACGGTGGAAGAACTCAAGGACATTGGCCTCCCCAACGGTACACCAAGCCCAGAGGAACCACCTGCACCTCTTCTTAATGGCCACCCAAGCCCCGCTACACCAGACCACACCATGCTGCCCAATGGTGTGGAGTATGCCTCTGTCAACCTCAGCAAGAAGAGCCGCTACAGCACTGACATGGAGGCCAGGCACTCAGCCGCCATTGTGAATTTTGAAGAGCCTGAGGATGAAAAACCACCTCCTGTTCCAGACAAAGTACTGGATGAGAATGACAACCAGCAGATTCCAAATGGACAGGTGGGGCTACCAAACTCTCTTTCTTATAAAAGTACCATTGTTGTCCTGTAGAGTAAACTGTAGAGTACAGTTCCTTGCATGAATCCACATTATCACAAGGCATAACATATCTGCATCTGTTTTGCCTAGCAGAAGCTGTACAGGTACTGGATTTTGTTGATAGTCAGTACTACTGATACTTTAGAAGGACTGTTATCATTTCATTTAAGTATCATCTATGCAAAGTACCAGTAAGTTGGTATCCCTATACCTTAGGGGTAGTGTAGGAGTGTCCGATCCTCCTCCTGAAGGGCACCTTCCTGCTGGGTTTAGCTCCAGCACACCTCCTTGGAAGTTTTTTTGTCGCTGTGCTCAAAACTGTGCATTGTAAGAATAGGTACTACATTTGGATAAATTATTTTGTGACGTCCGGACGTACTACATCCACCACTGTCATGCGACTACAACTTCAGTCATTTCACTTCTCCAACTTTTATGAATCCTCTCTCATGTCTCTCTCATGGATACCACTTTTTGCTTACTACAGTATATGGTAGGGAATAGGGGTGTCGCAATATATTAATATTGACAATTGACATTTTTTCCCCCAAAATTTCTAAAATCGTGACAACCCCGTAGGGAAATTTTTCATATTTGTATGCGACAAGTAATCTAAAAAATCTTGATCGACTGGCTGGAGTAGCATGCAAGTCTCATGGTAAATGAATATGGTAATCACCCAGTACCATTTTAGAGTTTAATACCATTTGATACCATTACCCTGGTACCACCACAGTACAGTATTTGTAAGGTTCTTTAAGGGGTTAAAATAGTTAATACAACATCAGTTGCTCTCCTGCAGTAATCATTTCCGTTATCAGGAGCTGCTCCATCTCACACAGAGTGATGTAACCCTTTGACACGTATAATTGAGAACAAAGAAGAATAATCATCTCAGAAACAAACCAAAAAGAACTGCACCAACATTCTCCAGTGCCAGCTAAACTTAGAGACTGCAAGAGAACAATATTGTGTTTCCAGTTTAATTACAGTCTTTTAGGATATGTGCTCTGGTTGACGGTGATACATATGTGTGCCTGTAGCATACAAATGAGTCTATCTGTAGAGGAGAGCAGACTGGCTGCTGTTGCGCCCGCACTCAATGTCTGCACACGGTGTGAGCATCCACTACAGCTACACGTTACTGTCACCAGTCGAGGACGCTCTGCACCTCCTTTGTTCATCACTGCCTCTTGCACTCTCGCTCTGTCAATCTCTCTCTCTTTTGCTCTAATGTTTGCTCTCTCTCCTTTTGTTGTTCTCATTTAGTGTTTTTTGCCCTGTATTTCTGCTTCCTTTTTCCTTGTACTCAAGATCAATTATATGTCTTTTCCACCAAAAACGGTGCTATATCTCATGCTCGGCCAGAGATCTACTCAAAACTGACCCATGCTTCTGCTGACCTGAGAGGTGCATTATGACACAATGTATTATTTATGTTACTATATAACTTGCCCACAGATAAGCATAACACATCATAGTCTGTTTAAAAGATTTGAGAACGCACTTTAACATTCAAAATGCATCGTTAGAATTTATAATGAATTACAATCAAGCAATCAGAATCCACATTTGATATTTGTAAACAAAATAATTTTAGCCAGATTGAGAAGTAGTGTCTGATACGACACAACATACAGTACATAGGAATGGGATGTTCACCAACTGAACAAATTTGAATGCTAACAGTAAGCAATTAAGTTTTGTTGCGCCTCAGATTTGCCAAAAGTGAGTTTCCAAACATTGCCACCCATTGGGCTTCTGATTCAAAACCAGCAGATTTTAGGGGCCAGTGCAGAGCCAATTTTGCCCAACCTTTCTGCAGTGGAAATGTGTTTAATGGTTCCAGATTGGCCAATGGATTTGGCAACAGCACTGGCACTCTTGCAGTGGTACTAAGTCAGAATCACTTACTAGCACCCTTTGGGGTAAAGTGTCTCCTGCTACACTGTGGGTTTAAACTTGACACCTGTCAATCCAAATCCCATTCGCTGTGGCCTGATGTAGATGTGTAATGGGGCAGCAGTGATTCATCTTATCGGTCACATGTTTGTGTGTAACATTTGCACATGGGGATCAGTGCGTTCCAGCTGTCCACTGTCTGACAGCTCACCCTCATGATGAATCAGACAGCAGAGCATGTTTACAGGTACATCAGTCTGTGATTAAGCAAGAGAATCATTCAGTTAAAGTTGGGACAGCCAAACTGACAAGCGCATGCTGTAACGCATTTACACACACATTGCCTCATTCACGGGGTGGACTGCACTGTATGTTTGAATGAATGAATGAATGAGGCATTTATATAGCGCTTTTATTGTGTATTGCTGTACACCCAAAGTGCTTTATAATCATATGAGGGGGTCTCTCCTCAACCACCACCAGTGTGCAGCATTGGTTATTTGAGTGAAGCACGCAAGCCTGGCTTCAGCAGAGTGCCATGTGTGTCATTATGCATTGGTGCCACTGTCACTATGCTAGCGTGATGGACTGAGGGCAGCTGTCTTAGATAAACTGTGATTTCAGCACATCAACACTCAGAAGTCTCCTGCTGAAGGGAAGGACTTTTATTGTTAGCACTGATGCCTTGTCAAAAGATGCGTGGGCACATGCTGACAACTGCGTAAAAGCAAATACTAATCGACACCACTGAGAGCAGCGCTACAGGCCATTGCCTCACGCCCAGCCGTACTGTCAGCATTCTGTCACAGTCAGGGTATGATCTAATGTGAACTTCACAGGGTATTCAGTCATTGGGGTATTCAAGGGAATGTATGTGTTCAGTGTGAAGGGCACTGCAAACTGATATTATTAGGGAAATCAGTCATTGTATTGTATTGTATTCCACCTCAGTACTATGCAAAATTTGGCTAAAATAAATGACATTTTTATTTAGCTTGGTCCACTTCAGGTCTCTACGCAGGTGTTTGTGGGTGTAGTCATAGTCCCTTCAAGGAGAGTCGGTTCACACTGCAGCCATATTTGCAACACCTCCAGGCAGCTATTTCGGTCATGCAAGACCAACTTCTATCTACTTGAATGGAGAAATAGCAAAAACTGCTTGCTGAACTCACATTTAAATAATATATTTCAATTCAGCAATAAGAACTGACATGAATTGTTCAATAAATGTTGTTTCTTATGCTCAAATAGTATAGTATAGGTCTAGCAAATGTGCATGTGCAGTCCTATGCAGACTGTTTTCATGGGAACTGGAGCTTCTGACAACAACTGCTGTGATGCAATGACTTTACCAATCAGTGACTGGCTCTTTTATTTACAAGGTGGGACTTATTCCACCATATTGCACATTGCACTTTTTTCAAATTCATAGTAATATGCGTGAATTGTCTTGGTGTGTGTGTGTGTATGTGTATGTGTATATATATATAAGTTTTGATAGGCCATGAGATGTGACTGTTATGATACTGTTTGCTTAAGCATGAGTGATATAACTTATAATTTATTTTCGTATTAAATATTATCACTAAATTTACATTTATTTCAATATAAATAAATAGTGTATATTAGTAATAAATAGTATAATATTTAATATATATTTAATGCAAATGCATGCATGCATATGTATGTGCATGCATACAGTGTGTGTGTGTGTGTGTGTGTGTGTGTGTGTGTCATGATGTCATCATCACACACAAAAATCTTAATCTTTGTGACTGTCTGTGTGATGACGTTGCAGTGCGTTTTAAATGCTTCCGATAATTATTAATTTCTTATATGGGCAAATCAATGGAAGAGACACTTTAATTGATATAGAGAGCTGGATAGAGTGAATTAGCAGATAAGCCCTATTGTAAGAGACATTTGTTAGTTGTGATGAGGTCAGGGGTGTCTTTGCGGAGCCACACGGATGGGCTATTAAATTAATTGCTTTGCTAATTAAACCAATATCAAAGCACATCTGGCAAGTCCCTGATGCACATTCTGGGCAATCATATCAAAGCAAAGCATACCTCAAGTTCACGGGGTGAGATGGCGCCATCAAAACAGGCTTGAAATTTTGGCTCTAAAACATCAGCATTAATCTTGAATGGGTTATAGCAAATTTCCCGCTTGACTGTAATCTCTCTGTCTGTGAGGTGACTGCGACAGGGATTGATATTCTTCTCCAACAGCCAAGGTGTCTGTTATTGATCTTCTGTAGGATTTACTTTGTTAATTAATGACTCTGTTATTGATTCTCTTTGTAAATATACAACCGCTCTTGCTAGGAGAGGAACTGTACATTTGATTTCAATCAGTAACTCTTAAGTAATAAATGAGTGGCTTCGTTTTTTCATCAATCAGTCCTTGACACTTAGCATGTGTCAGCTGAAGTGAGCCATTTCCTATGCTGCTGTATGTTTAACCTGATTAAATGAAACATTTTTAACTAATGGTCTTGTTTCAATCATTGTCCTTCAGTTACACTCCCCGCTGATGACTCCAACGCCTCAGGACAATGTGTCTCCGGACAGTGAGGTAGGCTCAGCATCAGCATCTTGTAAAGACCAACTTGAAGTCTTTGCAGTTTTTACCAATAATAATATTTGCAAATTAATACTGCACTGAACCAAGTCTGTGGAGTAAAGATGTCTAATTCTCTGTAATTCCAGTTATCAGACATGTACTCCAAGGTAGCGAAGAATACTATAAAGGAACCTGAGAATGACTACAGCAGCATCGGGGAGATGAAGGGAATGGTGGCGGAGTCGACTTCCAGTGATCTTTACGCCACGGTTGGGGATGAATACCCAATGGCTCTTGGCTCCCAGCCTCCAGAGGGGCTTACAGAGAATGCAGACCCTGGGTACGAGACCTTCAAGATCTCCAAAGCATCTGAAGAGGCTCATCAGGGCAATGGGATAGTGGAACCTGACTATGAGAGTGTGGGGGAACTGGGTCTCAACGGGGAGATCTCCCGTCTCTGACCACCCAACTAAGGGACTGTGGACACTGAGAAATCACTTCTCTGAGGTTTAGAAGTGGAAGTTGGAGTGGTATCGCGAGTATAATGCACTTAACCTTTCCTGATTTAATGTTTTTGAGCACAGCATTTATGCACCGCATTGTCTTTGAATATTATAAATGAAAGGGTTCGTTCAGACCTGTGACCCAGCACAGGAAATTAAACACTCTACACAGCAAAATCCCCAGAGTTAAATCAACTCTGCTCAGAGTACATATTGTCCCAATCTACAGAGTGTTAAAGTAACACTGAAGCAGAGTTACCACTGTTGAGGATTATGTGATACGTTTTCATGTCTAAAAGCCTGAGCAGTAATTGTTCATCTTCAACATTGTTAACAGCGGGTTTTCTTTACCAATGCTCACTCATCAATTAATTGCTTAATTATCCCATTAACTTTAACTCTGCTTCAGTGTTACTTTATTAACACTCTGTAGATTGGGACAATATGTACTCTGAGCAAAATACTCTTGATTTAACTCTGGGGATTTTGCTGTGTATAGTCACTCAGAAGAGGGCCTATTTTGTCCCCACACATTATGAAATCGCTTGCAGTAGGGATTTATCTAATACAAGGCGGCATCTCCATTTGTTGAGCGGGAGTTTTCTGAGCAACTACTCTGTGCTAGCATTTGTTATTTTTAATGTTTTGCTGGGCTGTCGATGTGGGCAATGATGGCAGTTGATCACACCTGCTCTAATCGCTTTCCATGGCTTGCTCTCATTCGATTGAAATCACAAAACAAAATGCTAACAAAAGTGTCCCACTACTGATATCCACTGCTGTAATTATGGTTTATTAAAATAAAGAGTTACATTAGGGGGATTAGAACCCAAACCCCTCATACAAAGGAATACTACTAGACCAAAGATTAAAAATTAACATATATATGAATATTAAGCCAGAATAACTGCTGCATTGTGAGAATGTAACAACACAAATGTGACAGAAATGAGTTAACATGATGTTAAGACATTTATAATGCTAATGCTATTTCAGATTTGATATAAAATATCAGTACATCACAGACTACTTATCAGAATAGTAAATGATCATGTTTAATTATCTTTGCGTATCCTAATTAATATACATGAGCTAAGCCTTCACCATTTTGTGACATAACAAGCAGCACGTCTGTGCAACCCCCTTCCCACGTCTCAACCACTTTTCAAAACAAAGTGACACCAATGGCTGTGCTCTTACGACAAATATTTTATTCATAATGTGTATTAGTAGTTTCCACGCTTTTGCACGCTGCACCTGCTGTGAGCTCCACTCTGCCTGCCTGTTTTCACGTGATACTAGTTGAGCAACTGACAGAGTTGTGTCCTTATATAACCCTGAGAAGAGAACCAATCAGATCCTGTCAACAGCAGACCTCTCAGCTCAGTCCATTAAGGAACTACACTCACTTTAATCATTCAGAAATGCTGGAGCATTTACTTGCACAAGTAGTGAGCAAGTGATGTTCACATAACGCACATCAATATATAAAAGAGGAACAGTTAAATGCTGCCATCATTCTGAGCCATTTAACTTGTTTATATTCAATATGTCAAATCACAGGCTCTGGTGAGGAAGTGACCTTTTAGGTACGCAAAGTTAAGCACACTCATTTATGAGTGTACTAAAAGGGTATTAATGCCATGTTGGCCATTATCTATTGCTGGTGTGAGTTCACATCTTTTCAATTGTTCACTTATTGCCATTTCTGATGTAATTGAGCTATGTTTTATCAATATGTATGAGTGATTTTTTTTAATTGACGCAGCTGTATTGATTGAGTATCAGATACAGTATATATTTCAGATATTGTTTTATTTTTTACATGTAATAGGTACGCAACATTTCAAAAGGCTGAAAAGCACAGGGGAAAAGAGACATCTTTTCAAGGTACTGCCACACTGCAGCTTTGCCTGGCAGCTTAGTAAATGTACTTTATTATCAGGTATGCATTTAGCTGCTTTTACAATAATGTAGCAGTATAATCCAAAAAGCATAGTGCATCCAGACACTGCATGGGACAACTTCATGCCAAGAGACACTTGTTAAATTATGTCAATATGTAATTATGGTTCTGTAATAATTGGCAGCAGCTCTCAAATGACAGCACTTGGAACTTTTATAGTTTGTTTGTATTGAGGAGCTAATGAAACTTTAAGAGTCAGTGGAATGCATGCTGTTTTCTAGATGCAGTTTTAATTAAAGAAAGTTTAAAGGAGGTTTATTAACATTTAAAAGGCTAATAACAGGAATATGAATTGCTTTGTAGTTCTTTAGCACTTTTTAAAATGTGAGGTTTAATTAAGGTCTGTGGATGGAGTCCAGATGTTGTCTGTGTTTGTTTGTAATGGTATGTTGTGTTGGTACAGGTTTCATATTGAGAAGATCCTTGTTTTATTTCATATCATGGTGAAACATTGAACATTTGGTTTCTTCCTCTAACCAAATTCGGTGTATTAAGTTGCAAACAAGAATGAATTTTGCATTTGTTTATTTCATCATAATCTTTGTATTGTGGTATTTGCTTATTAAACAATATAGTCATGCTGGACTAATAAATATAATGCGAGTGCATGTTTATTCAAATCAACTGATGCTAATGTGCGTGTGTGTATATACTGTATATATATATTTTTTCTTAATAGTGCTATATTTACATGGCAATCTTAGTGAGACAAGAAAGGACATTTATATTGGCTTAGTGCACAAAAACACAGTATAATCTCTTGATATTTAATCTGTCACTACATTCTACTAAACTAAATTCTCAAGTGTAGAAAAACAACCTTCAATAAGGCGGTTTTATTATCATGTCAGTACACTGGTATTAGGGGACTAACATATTTCACTGTACAGTCAGCCAGCTATTGATTGAATCTGTGGTCAAAGCAACATGCATTTTCAATGCAAGTACTAAGGGAGCGGTAGCAAACGAGGGCATTGAATTGATTTTTTATTTTCACTTCATAAAGATAAATTGTTTCTTAAAAGATTAAATCGTTTCAGTCATGCCTTAAGGGGTTATTCCTATAGACAGTTTGTTATAAGCAAATCATGCCCACAAGCACAGCGTAATTATGTTATACTTTGAGAGGCTATGCGAGTGGTGCAGTTCTTTGATCAATGCTACAATCGATTCAGACCTCACACTGACAAGCATATACAACATGTACAAGTTTGTATTTAAGATTTAACCACACAAAGGTAAAAATGTTCAATTAAGGCTTATAAAGTATAATGCACACAAGCAGGTGGATTACTTCTAAAATATAATCAATGCAAATTACACTTAACACTGTCAGTAAGTTACCTCTACTGCTATTATTAGTATTTTGACAAAAAACATATTTCTTAAACTACACTTCTATCAACATAAAGAGACTTAATTTCTAACTGCATGTTTTAAATGAAAAACAAAAAAAACTACCCATTACTGCTAATTTAATTTTAGCATGTGCTGATAAAATACAGTATATAGTTGAATGCTATCTAAGTCACTGAATAAATGTCAAATACATAAAACTGAAATATAAACATTAGTTAAATTAAATTTGAGTTAAAGATTAGTTAATTAGAGCCTTCTGAACTGCAAACATACTCTGTTCCCCTTTCGGGCTCTGTCTTTACATTTATTTTGAAAGATGAAGCTCGATTATGGTAAGGGGCATTACATTTCCGACGAGTGCTTGTGGTGTTCGGCCAATCACAATGCACTGGGTAAGCTGGCCAATCAGAGCAGACTGCGCTTGTCGGAAGGAGGGACTTTGTAGAAAACGAAGCGTTTGAGAGAGGCGGGGCATAGAGGACCTACAATAATGTACAGTATTTGAAAAATAATGGGTTTTTTGAACATTAAAGCATGTCAACATATTCTGTTATACCAAATACACAAAATAATGATCTTTAAAAAAGCATCATATGACCCCTTTAAACGATTGAAACGTGATTGTTTCCATGTGACTGCTTGAACGTTATTTCAGTATGTAGTCAAATAAGGAAAGAGACACATCTCTCTTCATTATAGTACCTGTTTGGGATACAGTTACTTTCAGTGTATGTGCAAGTACCTCAATTCAAGTTTTTGATTAGTTTGCGTGATTAGTCTACGTTACATTGATATTATTCATCATAATACATTTTAAGTGAGTAACATGTTAGTCTGAATGATAAAGTAATTTTCTCTGCCCAAAAAGGCCTAAACAGTGCCTCAAAATATTAGTCCAAATTCATGTTATTTAGAAGGTGAAAAGCACCTGAATGGTCACTGGAATGACAAGATTCTCAAATGCACATCCAATGGACATCCCATGACATGAGGCCATGGGAGAGGGGTTGTAAATGGCAGTGAAGCGATTACAACATGAGGAATGTAGTAGGCCTATGTCTGGATTACATATACTGCACACATTCACACAATATAGAATATACTTTTTTTAAAGGTTGCTATTACATTTGGATTTTAAAATTATTTAAGCATGCATTAAAGAGAGAGGTTCAGCCAGAAATAATTATCATGTTAATATAGCGAGTGAGGCTGTTATTCTGCCATCTCCTGTTGTGTTCCATGGAAGAAAGAAACAGAGGTTTGGAACAACATGAGAATGACTAAGGCCCGTTCACACCAAGAACGATAACTATATTAGTATCCACACCAGCGGATGATATCGTCTATTTATTCCAAGCGCATGCTCGTCTGCCGCTTTAAACTCTCGAGCTCGTTATAGCAGGATTGATTCTGATTGGCTGTCAATATTTGTATCGTTCATCAGCTGGAAAAAAATCGTTCTGAAAGAGATTTCAACGATATTGTTTCGCTGTGCCTTTATCGTTATAGCTGTGGTGTGGACTCTGCTATTCTTTAATATGGAGAACGATTTTTAGAACTATATATTTATCATTATCTTTATAGTTATCGTCCTTGGTGTGAACAGACCTTAAAGAGATAGTTCACCCAAAAATGAAAATTTTGTCATTAAAGGGGTCATATGATGCTATTTTAAAGATCATTATTTTGTGTATTTGGTGTAACAGAATATGTTGACATGCTTTAATGTTCAAAAAACACATTATTTTTCAAATACTGTACATTATTGTAGGTCCTCTATGCCCCGCCTCTCTCAAACGCTTCGTTTTCTACAAAGTCCCTCCTTAAGACAAGCGCAGTCTGCTCTGATTGGCCAGCTGACCCAATGCATTGTGATTGGCCGAACACCGCAAGCACGTGT